TGGACGTACAGGAAAAACCCAGATTTTTTTTGGTACAAAAATGTATTTTTGCCTGCATTGTCACATACATATCTTGCTGTCTATATGTGCCATAATATTTTTCTTTAGCTTTGAGTCGATTGTATTTTAGACTTCAGTAATATTATAATCGTTTAATTGTCACGATACATCGATTATCGCTCAGTCCTAATCTATAATTTGTAATATCAAAAGTAACTTTATTCATTATTGCCGCAATACAATACTGCCGTCGAAAGCCACTAAGCAGTAGGTAATTAAAAAAACATAGTTTTTCAGGAAAAAATAAAAACGTTTACAACACTAAATTCGTCAGCAGAATAAAAATAATATTTTTTTAAGTTTTAACATAAGAAATATGGTATATTTTATTATAATATGCATATGCTGCTATTAAACACGACAAAGTTTTTCCGTTCATTTTTTTCCATTCATTTGTGTGTATTTTAATTTACTAATAAATTGCATGTCATTGCATATGACTTACATGATTCAGAAAACGAAAACCAGTAAGTACGCTGGTTTTTATTTGGAGTTACTGCCCAATGCCTTCTCATTGGCATTGTATGTGTGACTACATTTTTGTATATTTCATATTCAGTGTTGTAAAGTTTTAAATATTCAAAAAAACTCAGTGCTTGCTATTCAGATAAATCCCATTTTTGAAATAATTTATTAGAAAGAAAATCATTTTTTAGTGACCAATTACTAGCTAAAACTAATTGTATTATATTTTTTTTATTACTCTGTATATAATTATTATACACAATATTGTATGTTCAACAAGATTTTTCTTATGCCAATTTCAAAAAGCGAAATTCCGAAAAGAAGTGGATTTATCTGATTAATTTGATTTATATAATATTCTAGTTTTTATAATTTGTTATTAAAATAAAGTTAATTTATAATAATAATTAAATACATTTTGTTATTTACCCCCTCCCCCCACCCCCGAAATTAATTCCTATATTCGCTACTGTTGTAGTTCAATTGATTAACTTTTTCACCCCATTCCATTACACCATCCATTCTTGTATACTTGTACCCCCCTCCCTCCGCATAATACCTATTGTATACAATTTTATTATAGATTGTATACAATATATTCTTATTTTTTGTAATAATATACTAATAAAACCTTTCCAATAAAAAGTTAAATAAATACTTTAAATGCTTAGGATAGGCAACCAAACATACATCAAATGTAGCATACTTAACTAAGTAGGTACGTCATCAGTCATCACTCATCACTATCTTGGTTGTCGAGTAAATAACCATGGTCGCTATTACAAGGCGGGTGTTTATACATTTTCATATTTTATTAATTCCATAATAATAGTTGCAGAGTGGAATTTAAATTTATTTTACAACCTTTACAAAACGTAAAATATAGTTATATTGCAGACATTACAGATTTCAAACTATTTTCCTTTCAAAGAATATTTTTATTATTTTAGTTCATGTTTTGAAATTTTGTGGCATAGGTATTTTGATAGTAGGCATATTACGACGTTTTATATCAACCATAAAAGGAGAGAATATTTATTTTGTGTAATTTATGAATAATGATTGTATAAGTTATAATACAGAAATTGAGTAAGTAGGTACTAGGTACATACATGAAACATTTTGAAAAATGTTAATATGAATATGTAAATTTATAACTGAAACTGTTTATAAATTCGTATACTCAACACTTTTGGTACACCTATTTTTTATTTACATAATTGAAGGCCTTGGCGCCAACAACAAGCTATATCCATGTTTTAGTCAAAATTATTTTTTGGTACACATTATTAAAAAAAAAAAAACTGATTCATTTGGTTCAACAACCAGTCAAATCCGACTGTTAAGTACAGATTAAACAACATGACATCCCCAAGTTTTATTTTTTGGTTTTAATGTCATACAAATTTGATTTTAACAAAATATTTTTCACTGGTTTCTAGTTATAGTTTAAGTCCCATTAAAGTTGGTTCTAAATATATTTGTTGTTAATTTAAAAAAAAAATTATATTTATTGGAGATATCTTTTTGTTGCTCCCGGGTCTCCAATTTATACCCAGTAACATTTATATTTTAGTGTACAAGAATTGTATGTGTCATATTCAACGCCGCGCGCCGGCAACGTATTTACGCTGTATCAGTTATTTTCCAATGAGCCACAAATTACCTATGGTAATAATTTATAATAAATTTCAATGTCATTTAACTGTAAATTGCTTTAATCGTAAATTTCTAGGGATCAAACCTAAAAAAAATGGTTTTAAAATCGGTTTTTTTTAGATCGGAGTCTATAAATCTATAACTAAAATACTACTGTCACGTACATACGCTTAATAAATAAATAAATAATATATTATGACAATAAAAACGGTTTTGTCATAAGATTGAAAATAAGTTCTCAATATTCATTATTAAATAATTATGATCACAGCTATATATAGATACTAATGTTCGGCACTCTGCGGTTATACGGAATAAAAAAAAAAGTACAGAAAAAATTATTTACAAAATTATTATGAATTAAAACCAACTAGTTAGTGATCATTTTTGGTACAATTATGGTCGTGAATGGAAATTATCTTACGCATGGTAAAATAAATAAATAAATGAATAATATTATTAATAAATGTATAATATTTCTTATCCGGTTTAGTGTTTTTAACGTGGTTAACGTGGCTCTTCGGTAAATTTGGCCATGACGAGTAAACCTGTCGCCGGGATTACTCATACAATTAGCAATGACGCGTAAACGGAGTGGAATGTGTGGTGAAACAGATTTGATGCATAATATTAATTATTATATTATGTTTATTAATTTATAATATTCCAGCGTGTAAACTTTGTTTCATACAACGATGTTTTGGCACATAAATGTATATTTTACAAGCCCTCTATTTTCATAAAATTGCTTTGTATAGAAAATATTTTCTTCAATTATTGTATTAAAACATTGTTTAGAATATCTTAATTTATTCTATCCTAATTCTTAATATGATCAAATAATGTATGTCCTATAATAATGACCTATGTCTACTATTGTGTATTACAGTACCTACCTATTATACGTGTGCACATTGTAAATACTTTTTTTTGGTTTGGCATTGCTGACATGTATATACATAGAGAACTTTCACCTATTTACTATTTATTTTTACTTTTACCTATTAATAAGGTTCTTACATAAAAAGTACAAGCTTAAGAGGAAAAGTGCCAAGTCATTACCAGCGAAAATCAAACTCATCAAAATCTATATTAGACTTATGAACACTTCTGTTGAAACATTAGTCCAATAAATCTTTTAACAATAATTTTTAACTTGCAGAATAAGTATACCTAATTTTTTTTATTACGATTTAAAATCTACAGAGAAAATAGTTTTCCTTTGAGATTCGAATCACATAAAAAAATATTTATTTTTATTTGAAAGTCTCCATAGGTAACTAATAAATAACAAAGTACCTATAAAAATACTAGTAGATATAAATATACTTATTTAAATAATAAAATTAAAATGCAGTTATATAAAAATGAATATATCACATTAAATTTCTAAATAATAAATTAACATTACACAGTTGGCGTTGGTAGAAACATGTCATTGCATTTCTATCTATCTTTGGTCAGTTGATTATAATCTGAGGAATACCTAGTCACTTACTGTTAAACGAAAATGCTGCTCTAAATAATCAAAATCAGTGTAGTTTGGTATACAGATTTTATAACTATGGTGTGGGAAAACACTATTACACACATACCGATTATTATCTAATAATAAGTTTAACTTTGAAATTGTCTGAGATAGGTATATCTGACGTTTGCAAACAATTGGCCAAATATTTGTCAGTGTTATATATATATCTGATTTTCTTTGCCTTATATAATTTTAAGAACTATGATATTGAAATATGGTGACAATACAGTATTTTAGTTATCACCCAGTAATTCATGAACTATTAACAACAATATTATTGAAGTATTCAATACAATATATTTTTGATCATTATATATTACTTGAGTTCCAACAATTTTTACTTGAAATATAAGTACAACATTCATAATACCAGCCTAATACATTTAACCATTACATTATTGGTACATAATATACAAGAAATGTTATATGTATGAATAAATATGATTAAAATGTACATTTAATCATATAATTGATGTTACAATATTGTTTAACAATAACAGGTATTTATCAGTGTGTTATAAATGCATAAATTGCAGACATATAAGTACAAAATACCTTCTTCTGTTTTTTCATATTGTTATATTATGATTAAGTTTTTTAAAATAATGATACAGAACATGTATTATCAGTATGATGTATAATGCCTATGTTCTATTGGGATACATTGAATCATGGCAAATAAATTCCAAATAAAAAAAGTCTAATTGTAATCATATTTATTTTGGTTGTTAAATAAAACGTTGAGACCGCAGTTGAACTTAAAAGATATTTTATCTATGTATTTATTTACATAAATATCAGTCGTTAGAAACGTAATATATATTATATTTACAATAATGGAAACAAAAAGCTTATGACAAACTTCTACATTTTGTTGCTTATTAAAATTAAAATTATTTTAGCCTTAACTATAATGAACTTTAACTTTAATTATGTTATGTATTTCCTTAACTATAATCGCTAATTAATACCGATTAAAATTAAATTCTTGAAATCTGACTTTTTCATTTCCGATGTGAAATAATAATAATTACAAATAATAATTATATTCTTTTTGTCTACTTCAACTTTGAGTTATCCCATAATTCGAATAGCAGACTCAAGATTTTATCACATGTCATGTAATATAATAGAGATTAAAATACATATTGTATAAATTAAGTAAAAACATTGTAGTCATCATTTAAAAAATGCCTACAGTATGATAATTTGATATTATATCAATAAGTAACTACTCATTAATAATAAATAAATTTAAAATGATAATTTAAACTTATCTTAATAGTCAATTTGAGTACATGTTTTTTTTTTATTCAGCTCATTCAATATTATAAATTAAATGAAAATTCAAAATTGAACATCATCCATAGAGTAATCTTCTAATAAACAATAATTAAAACTAATACAATAAAATATTCTAAAAATTTATAAAATAAAATAAAAAATGAACACACACGTTATTGCAAAAGTTGTACAGATTTTGTGAATGGAAATACATTTTATAACTATTTTTAAATATTTATATGATAGACATTTGACATTTGATTAACATTTGGATCACAATTTATACATGATAATATTTGTTTGGTTTTCTTTTTTAATAAGTTCATCAGTTTACATTTTATATAAACAAAGAATGGTAGGAAAAGATAAAAATGTATTACATTTTAAACAATAATTTTTTCTTATGTAGGGTATATTTTTTATAATACAACTTATAAATAATATAATCTAAGATTTAAATACAATCAAGTATGTAATAGTCAATTTTTGTATCAAACCACAATTACAAGTTACAGAACTTATAATATAATTGGCTAAATTTCAAATTTGTACACACACAAAAAAAATTATACATTTCTCTAATATTACATATATTTGTCTGAGTTAAAAATTACTGGAGTATAAAAAAAAATCTTAAAATATAATTGAGACAAACATAACATTATGCCGACCTAGAGATCCTAAAATCGGTAAATACCTATTTTTCAACAAATAATTCACAAGGTTTAGATCTTTTCAATAAATCTATCAACTCATCTAAATTTAATCATCTTCATTCAGGAATTACAACCATAGTACAACATATTTTTAAAGGATAATTCTTACATAATACATGTAGATGTGATCTGGGGTAGTTTACCCGATATCTGAGAGTTCCTGGAATGCATGGGCAATGTTTGATGATGATTTGACTCAGATAATTTTACCCTTAAACTAGTAGGAGTGCTTTCTTGTGAATAATGTTGATGTTCAGCAGCTGGGGGACGAGGAAGTCTACGACGTAACCAACTGTGCCTTAGCGCCATAGCAGGTGTGATACGGCGCTCAGGGTCCCATTCCAAACACTGAGTAATAAAATCTAAGAACAGGGGATCATCACAGCCTTTGAGCGCTTTTGATAAGTCTTTAGATTCAGGTGGTCCTCGAGCTTTACCCTTTCGTGATATACTTCCTTTAAGAATGGTTGAGCCATCAGGTAATGTGGTCTGGGAGCAATACCTTGGATACCCTCTAGAGCTTATGAAATAATTAGCACGCTTTGAAGCATCTAAAAGCTTTTTAGGTGGCATTCCTAAAAGTTCAATAATACAAGCCAATTGATCAGTTTCATCTTCACCTGGAAATAATGGGAAACCGGTAAATAGTTCAACAAGAATGCAACCTAAACTCCACATATCAATTGGAAGTCCATATTTTGCGCCCAGAATAACTTCAGGTGCCCGATAAAAGCGACTTTGGATGTATGTGTACACCCTCTGATGTTCAAAACAGCTTGAACCAAAATCAATGACCTGAAAACAAGTGTATGTTTTAATAATAGCAACAATAATAAACCAAATAAATATAAGTGCAATCGATAAGACCAAAACATTTAAATTATACACTAATTACATAATTGCATTGTGTAAAACATGAAAAATATTAGACATAAATAGGTTATGAGTACTCACTAGAATAAAATATTTAATTTAATTTTTACTGATTGAAATAATAATTATTAATCATAAAAGTTATTGGTTAACTAGGAAAGATAACTTTGCTATTTTCATGTATTACACTCATAGCAAAATAAAATTATGATTTGTACATACAAAGCTGCCATTCACTGACTAAATTAAGTTATAACTCCCTTATGCATATTTTAAGTTTTAAATTAATTATTTAAAGTTTTAATTTATTTCTTGTGATAATGTATTGTGTATTTTAATATTCTTAATTTAATATTCATAAAATATAATTATATATACAATTGTTAATGTCTACATCTTTTTGAAAAATAAAACTTGGTAAATATCACAACTAATGTTACTTAATTTTACTATTGAGTGCATGAAATAAGTAACAAATTTACTTTATGGTATTTAATTATGATAAAAAGTTTAAAAACAATTTGAAGTGCCTACTAGCATAAGGACATAAGGTACACACTATAAATTAGAAGTAATAAATATATGTAATTATCTAAGTTCAATAAAAGTAATTATAGGTACTCAATAAGAACCTGTATGAGTATATTTGTGTTTTGTTAAACCAATAATTTAAATATATGCTTTATAAATAGTTCAAATCTACCTAAGAGACCTAAAAAATAAATAAATAAATAGTAGATACCTAGGTACCTACATAATTGTCAAATTAATATAAAAAAATACTCTAAAGGTTTTTTTATTTATTTTCCTCTCTGTGTCCTCTGATATATTATGAGCATTATAGTACATTTACATTCAATAGAACCAATTTTTTGTTTTAGTTTTAATATTTGGGTAAATTTACAATAAAAATAAAAATTATGAACATGAAATGTGTTTGTATGTTGGCTTTTTTAATGATATTTAATTTTTTCTACAACATGAGTAATTACAAATTATAAATTACAGCCTCATAACTTGCATAAAAATTAAAATCTCAATTGAAATATTGTAAAAAAAGGCAGCATACAATCTCAAATAATGTTCTTAACTTAAAGTTTAAGAATAGGTCAATTTCCTCTAATATTAAAGTTAAGGACATAAAATTTGTTCTATTAAAAGCAAATTAATAATGTTGCACGTTCGTCAAAGAGAGAAAACAAATACTTCAAACACATCCTCTTTTAAGGGAAAAGAAAATTGATTTGTTTATTGTTGAAATGTCGAGTATTTTAGTGCATAAAATATAAATACCTACTGCATTTATAAGTTAAATAAGACAAAATGTATTTTATTTGCTTCTTAAAATTGTTTAGGTAAACCAAATATTGAATTAAATATTATTTTAAAATTAAAACCATCTGATCTTAAAAAACGTTCAACGTTTTAAATATAGGTATCTACTGCAAAACCTTGTGTAAACATGCCTATAGGTCTATAGGTTAACCTACCAAATTATATTAAAATAGTATAACTTTAAGTTTAGAAACATATAAGTTAGTAGGATACCTATGTAATTAATGAATGAAAACAAAATTATAAATTATAATGTAGGTACCTACCATAGTAAAATTATTAGTTACAAAAATATATTAGTTTTATTTACGACTTTGAAGTTTGAGAAAAGCTTTTATTTATGCTTCTAGTGAGTATTAAAAATAAATACATATACTCATGAATAATTAGCATTACTGAATATGATTATAGACTATAGTATAATGATAAAAAGAATGTATATGACTCATAGTTTATAAATAAATAAGCCAAAGGACAGTGAGTAGTACTAGTACATAATGTTGAATTTCCATGATTATATAATTTAAATCAAAACTCTGTGAGTGTATTATTTATTTCATAATATGTATGTTTTTAAATATTTAATTAAAATCAGAATAATAATCTCGTTATTACCCTATACAACTAAATCTAAAATTGTAACGGGAAAACATAGTATGTACTATGTACCTAGGGTTCCTACCTTCTAGGGGGTTTTAATTTCCAATTTCAAGAAATGTCAATGTGTACAGGGTTATATTTAGCATTTAGGTACTGGGACATTTACTAACTACAAGAAATCTTAAAACTGACTAAATAATTAATTGTTTTGACTTAATTGAGATGATTAGAAAAGAAGGGCACAACATAATATGAAATACAGTATGGAAAAATAATAACTAATATCATTAAATCCATAATGACTTAATAGGTGTACAGTATTTACCTTGATCCCACTTCGCCCATGCTGTTTCAAGAGAACATTTTCTGGTTTCATATCACAGTGAATAATTTTATTACGGTATAAAGCATCAAGGCATACAAGTAGTGAATGGCTAAATTTTCGCACTAATTGAAGACTGAACCCTTGGTATTTATTTTTCTTGATAAGTTCATACAAATTGATGGATAAAAGTTCAAAAGTAATGCACATATGTTTTCTGAATGTAAAACTATCAAACATATGAATAATGTTCATTAAATTGTGAATATCTTGTTTGCGCAAATGCTCTAATATTCTAATTTCTTCTTGGGCTTGCCGATAAAACCGTTTCTCGTTTCTAACAATTTTGAGTGCAACATGTTCGTTCAGCTTGTGGTCGTATGCTCTGACTACTTGACCAAAACTGCCTTTGCCAATTACTTTGAGCAACTCATAACGATAACCCACATGGTCATGTGGGACAAAAACATAGCCACCTTGATCGTTGTCAAATAGCGATTGTGTTCCATTGAAAGGTCGTTGCTTCTTGTCTGCTTCAATGCCAAAAAAATATACCTCTGGGAAACCAAATATCTCGATTTTTTCAAATTTGCTCAAGCTACTGCTGTACTTACTGCAGACATAGTCAGGTGTAAAACCTTTTTTTTTTGGTTTGCTCAATGATGTTACCTTAGAATTTGGTGAACCACTCAAATCGTCATGCTTTGTGATAGGCTGAAGACAAGAGGTGGCCGATTTTCCAATACCATACAGGGCGTCCTTATTTTCCACGTACAAATCTATGTTACTAGTAGCCTTGTCAACAATTAAGTCGAGGTTTGACGGTTTGGAACACTTTTTTGCCAGTTTGTTCACGGTGGCAGCGTTGGATTTCTCGAGAATCTGCGAGTACTTGAGTAACGACGGCAGGTGATCGCCGCCACAGTCTGACTGCGATATGCAAGAGTCATTGGACGTGCTTGACGTGCCATTGTTGTTGGACAACAATATGTGCGGCCGGTTCCGAGACAAAGGCATCTCTTTAATTGTAGATACGGGATTAATGGTGGTGACCGTGATACTCATAGCTGTTCGGGAGTCACGTAGTACCTGAACACACACATTTAGGCACTCCTGCAGCTGGTCGATGGTATAATTTCGGTATTGGCTCCGTTTCCCATCCGCATCGTCGCAGTGGTCTCGTACAAAGTATACTTCCTAATATTATTATGTACGATATACATATAGGTTCACAAAGTACTTACGTATATACGATAATGTAAACGTAAGTGTAATATAAACGGATATGGACGAGAAAGACCAGTTCCGTAACGCGTCAAGGAGAAAAATAGAAATAGAAAATAGAAAAAAATAAATTAATAATTAAAACTTTCGAAGACGAGTTACTGAATAAAAAGCGCACTTGTTGTCTCGACTTCGACGACGACTCGACTTGTGCGCTCGTCGTCCACTGACCGAATACGGTGATGTACAAACGGCGACGGGCTCGGACTTATCACGGAACCGATAATGTTATTATTTTGAAGTAGCGCGGATCGGAAGAGAGTATGCCTATTATTGTTTCGAGAAGCGGAAGAGAGAAGTCGAAAAGAACACCGCCGAATGTGCTTGGCGGAAATTATCGTTGTTGTCACTGCGCGGTCTGATCTGCATCCGTGCAGTGAACAGCACGAATAAGACGACGGTGGAATAATAATAATAACTAAAATAAAAAAAGGAAAAAGAAAAAAAAAATAATAGTGTTAACAATAATAATTATTGTTCTTCGGTGCAATACACTCGGAGTCGGAGCTCGACGGCGACAGCAGTGGTGGTGGTGGTAGTGAACCCACTTCAACAGTGCGGCACCGACACCGTTGTCACGGTCGCGCGCACGGTAATATTCGGCCGGTCGCGGCGGTCGGTCGGTCGTCGTCGTCGTCGTTGTCGTCATCGTCGTCGGTGGCGGCGGCGGCGGCGTCCTCCTCCGCCGCGTCTGCCGCTGAAACCGCGGAGGCGGGGCGAAGGGCACAAACCTCTCTCCGCGGTCCGACCTAACCGCCGCGGGGAAGGACGGGGGCGGTACGCGGACCTCTTCTCGTCGCGCAACAAACGGCGAGCGGGTTGCGGCGGCGTGGCGGCTCGTTCGATCCCTTAACGGGGGGGGGGGGACGGGCACATCCCTCGCCGTCGTGCACATGTGCGCGTGTGGCCTTTTCTCGTACGCCGCCGAAAGGGCCGCGGCCGACGGTTTTTGCGTCTTATCGCGTTGTCCGCGGCGCGCGCCAAGACCCGAATTCGTGGAAACGCGGACGGCTTTACTTATTAATTATTACGGTCGGAAAACGAATTCGTTTCGACTCGCCGCCCGACGAACGCGCCAGATGACCGGCGGCGATAATAATATTATCGTTGTAGACAAACGATAACGATCTCGTCCCACGACGACGTGTTTCAATCATAAATTATACGATTATCGTCTTCGAGTGACGGAAAAAAAAATTATTATTATTTATGTTTGTTTGATAATATTATTTAATACTTTCTCATATCATCCCGTAATATTGCAGTACAATAATTATTATTATTTCGAGGAGAGGGCCGACGCCACCGCCGCCGCCGCCGCCGCCGTCGGTCGACGTCATCATGTCACCGCCGCCTCGAGGAGACAAAGACCCGCCGACGACGAGTGTGTTGTTCCCTTCCCTTTCTACGGTTTTTTGAACGCGGGTACTCGAATAAAATAGGGACTGCGGAGGCGGCGGCGGCGGGTGGCAGCTGATGGCTGACGGGTGATTGTGCGTAACCTATTTAATATATTATTATTATTATTATTTTTTTTTTTTTATAGGATGAAAAAAGACGTCGTACCACGTACGGCCCGTCGTTTTACTTCGACGACTGCCGCCGCCCGCCCCCACTGCTACTCCTCAGTATCCCGCTTCTGGTCGTCGCAAGACGTCCGGTCAACGACTATGAAATAATACGCGGGGTCGCCCGCCTGCGGCGGCGGTGGTTATTTTTTTTCACAATTATATTATTATATATTTTTTTTTATTTCCCCTCGCGCCTCCGTCCGATCGATACGATTTTTATCCGATTGTTTTCCTTCTACCCGTTTTTTTCCCGCACCTGCACATATATATATATATATATATATATTATTTATAATATTCATAGTATAGGTATACAAATAATACAATGTTCTCGCGTGCTTATAACTTCGCGTTTTTCAGTCGGTATCGCATTTTATTATTATTATTATTATTATATACGTAATAATATATTTATTACAGACGCCTTTTACCCCACGTCCTCCTACTAGTCCTACTCTACATGTATAGGCAATAGGCACTGCAGACATATAATATTTGCACGCCACGCGCGTCGGCGGTAGTCCGCAAAGTGGTTATCGAGAAAAGAGCGAAATAATATTTGAACAATATAATAATTTATTATCCTATATCATCGTCGTCGTCGCGTTACACTACGCAAACAATAACAACAACAACAAAATGCGGAAATTATTATAATATATTAGTAGATACACAGAGCCACAGAGGTATAAGTAAAGGTGTCAGTGGTTGTAAGCCGTCGTTGCAGGTCGCGGGCCTTAGTATTTTTTATTCCACTCCGATAGCGATGACACGATATCAATTTTAATTTATAATACCCATCATATTATTATCATAATACAAATTGTAGCACTCAATGACATTTTTTAGCAAATAACATTTATTCAAACATATTACATACACATACATAATAACATAACGGATACGTTCTATATTTACTATAGCATAAGAACCAATAACGATCGCCGTAGGTAAAACAATATAACGTGTTTATTGCGCGCCGCTGTAGATGATAATATAATAATAATAATAATAATAATAATAATAATAATAATAATAGGTATGTATATTAGTATAGTAATAAAGGCCAGCGATGAACCAATACCATAGATAAAGGATAAAGTAGGCGAATAGGTAGGTACCTGATATATTGTGTGTAATACTACGCCATGCACACATTACCGTACATCGTGCTCTAACCCGTGTATGGTGCGTACACACTTGCACACACTGTGTGCGTTCGGTCGATAAACTCGATTTATCGTAATAATAATAATAATAATAATATCGTCTATTCGACGTAGTACGTACACATAATATTATATTATACAAACGCGTACTACATAGAATATAATAATAATATGTCTAAACGGCAAACGCGTGTGTCAAGGAATCTGCGATCGTCCTTTCGTCAGTGAGTCTTGAGCTTCTGAAGCTTATAATAATATTGTACAATGTTTTTCCGTTCGACGACCGCCGCTCACTCTAATTATTATTGTCGCGGTCGTCGTCGTCTTCCTCTCCTAGTTTGAATACCCAAGAATGCGGGACACTTATTATTTAATTATGTATGATTATTATTTCCCATCCGTCCACATTATGAACAGAGTCCGCCGTTTTATTCTTTTTTTCACGAGGACCGCCGACGCCGCAGAAGAGAGTGTAGTAACTATCGTAATGTAGTATGGTGTAGTATAGTGTACATATTATAATATTATAATAGTGTATAGTCATATATAGACCATGCGAGACGGACAATCACACACGCACACACAACTAAGGACACACCCTCCACATATTGTTTCTGTTATGGTACAAAATAGAGAAGACAATAAAGGATATTTTATTTATTTTAATTTTTTTCACATTACATTTATCATTGTTAGTGCTCTCCCTCTGATCCTCTTAGCCCGTGACGATGCTGCACCTCTTAGTTTTACACAATAATAAATACACCTAGGACCGGTAATTATTATCATTTCTTTTTTTATGTCTTTTAATTTTATTAATATAATAACAATATTATAGAATACTATTTTCTCGTCGTGTAATAATTAGATAGGTAGGTAGACACCATAGGTACATTATATTATTATTATACCTAATATGCGAGTCTGACCAGTGACGTGTGTATCGACGATGTACGTCAGATATATTATATTATTGTTATGTGCACATGTTTGTACGCGACCGTATCATTATTACATTTCAATAATGTGTTTGACGAGTGTTTGGGTGTTATATAATATAATATCATGACTGTTTAATTTATTATTCTGTATGATCTATCGTATGTATTGTGTGTAGCCCGATCCCTATAAAAATAAAAACCTGCTACAAAATATAGACGCAATGCTTTTGAGGATAGCTGTTGGTTTTGGATTATTTACGTAAACCTTAACTATAGAGATAATTAATATTTTTTGTAGGAATTCTATCCGACGGGTATCGTCAAAATATGTCTCTTTCGTCGTATCGATAACGATCTACTTTGTAGCTAAATTTTTTTGACTAGATTTAGATATCGTTTTCCAAATAACTGGTGATAGGAATAATATTAATATAATACATATTGTGTGATGTGTAGTACAGAATAATACATTTATAGATTTATAATTTGTTAATGTAATTATTGTAATTATGTAAAATGGCAATGTATCCGACGGTATTAAGATGATAATTAAAAATCGTGGTACGCCCTTTGACAAGTGCGGGGCCCTGAACATATGTCCCATTTGTCCTCCCCTAGCGATGGCACTGCATATGGTTATATAGATACTTATCTATATTTATGAACTAATGTCGTAGAGTCCGAAATCTCGAATATTATTTTCATAACACTAAGAGCTGCGAATCGAATGGACACAATCAAAAAATTATAATCACTGATTCGATAACAACTTCAACATTGTATTATATTAAACGAAAAGAGCATTATAGGTACTATTTTATTGCGTACAAATTATTTTACTGATTAAATAAGGGATTTAATAATAGGCAATAATTACGTCCAAACGCGTATCATTTAAATTGGCGGTACCTTAGTCCGTTGCAGTATTCAGTTGACGACTGATTTTTAGTAGGTAGACAGTTGACAAATCAAGATCAGAATCAAGGCTCGTCATCTGCGACAATTTGTGCTCTATGAATTATCATTATGTAAAATCGTTTACGTAAAATATTTTAATAAAATATTCAAATACTAAATAATGTACTGCTCAAAGGTGAAGGCCGATTAAACATTATATTTTTTCAATAATTAAAACTCCACAATATAGGTGATGTAGTAATATACCCACATAATATTATTGCACTACGTGGGAGGTGGATTCTATATATCACGTATACATTTCACCCGCGAGTCAATACATGGTGTATAAAAACGTGTAATGCGTACTTATATGTTTATTTCCGCATATACAAGGTGTAACGGAATGACCTGACAAATAAAATAGCTTTTGTTCTATATTTTAAGGATTTTTTTACATATTATTTATAGACGTGTGCACTTTAATTGCAGTATGATAAATTGTTTTATTTTTGTTTTTTAATACTGAAAACAAACATTTTTCATTTTTCATGACTCAGGTATTTCTATTACACCCTGTATACGTAAAAAAATTCGACAAGGATAACTATCATGTTAGTATACATTTTTTGTTATTCCCCATTTATATTATTTAGCGTATAGAGATATTATACCTATTGTAAGCAGACAGGTGACAATGAAAATTTATAATATTTCAGCATTGCAATATTATAATATGTTACAAACCTATGTCATAATATGCGTGGGGAGAGGGGCTGAGGATTTCTAGTTTTTTCATATCTGTCTAGAAAAGTCGCAGAAAAATTATATGAGTGATACATTCAGCTTATACAAATAGTATGTTTCATAATTGTAACACTATTATAGGACGATATACGAGTATTAACAATTTTTATTTTGGAATTCTTTAATGTAGCAAAGTTGAAAGATTTTAGATAAATAAAAACACATTTAGAAAATTGTCTGTA